ACATCACAAGCTGCGTTTGAATGCCTCCAAGTGCGCCTTCGGAGTCGACACCGGAAAATTCCTAGGTGTTTTGGTCACGAACCGAGGAATTGAAGCCGACCCTTCCCAAATCAAGGCGATACAAGAGCTGGAGCGCCCAAACTCCACGAAGGACGTGCAACATCTTACCAGGATGGCAGCTGCGCTGAACAGATTTATCAGCCGGTCTTTAGATCGTTGCAGGCCCTTCTGCAAAACTTTAAAGGCCAAGTTCTTCTGGGATGACGAATGTGACCGTGCATTGGCGGATCTGAAAGCATACCTTTCCTCAGCCCCTATCCTGGTCACACCAAAACCGGGTGAAGAATTGTATCTCTACTTGGCAGTCTCTCAACATGCGGTAAGCGTCGTGCTGAGGGTACCCAGCACCTCCTCATCTTCTACGTAAGCAAGACCTTACTCCCGGCTGAATCAAGATATCTGTCGCTAGAAAAATTGGCTCTGGCCCTGATGATGGCCTCCAGAAAGCTAGCGTACTATTTTCATGCTCACACAGTCGTTGTGCTAACCGAATTTCCACTTAAGGTGCTCTTTGAAAAGGCTGATTTTACTGGCAGAACTCTAAAGTGGGCTGTAGAATTGGGGCAGTATGATATCAAGTTTCAACCGCGCACTGCCATCAAAGCTCAAGCTCTTGCCGACTTCGTGGCGGAATTTGCCCTAGGAACACACCTCGTTTGCCCTATCGATGTGGCCAGTCCGGATTTGGCGCAGCCCATGGCTCAGATAGCAGATACGAATAGCGGACAACAAGTGGCGGAAGGGCAAACGAAAGCCGAACAAAAAATGCAGGAACCGGACAACCTGTCAAAGCACGGGCTCGATTGGGGCATAGAAAGAAACCAGAATGAACCGACCAGTACCCCGCAACTGAAGAGCTCCCAAAATCCCTCCGACTGCTAGAAATTGGTCATTGGCGAGATGTGGAAATTCTTCGTCGATGGGGCCTCCAACAGGCACGACACTGGGCTGGGGAGCGTCCTAACCTCCCCAGATGGGCTGACCATAGAGCATGCGATCACACTCGATTTTCCAGCGTTCAACAATGAGGCGAAATATGAAGCTCTCCTTACCGGATTGAAAAGCGCATTGAGGATGAAAGCGTCGGAGCTTATGGTATTCAGCGACTCCAAACTGGCGATCAATCAGGCCTCTGGGGAGTATGAGGCCAGGGATGAAAGGATGGCCAAATATCAGGCGCTGGTACGCGCTGAACTCAAAAAGGTTGCTGCGATAAGAATGGAACAAATTAACCGCGAGGAGAACAACGCAGCTGACGAACTGGCCGACCTTGCATCAATGCAAACAACTTTTCCCAATTCTTTGATGACAAATTTTTTACCCCGGCCTAGCATTGAGGAACCGGAGGTGCCCGAAGTACTCTGCGCTGACTTAGGACCATCCTGGATGGACCCCATCATCGCCTTCCTAAAGGATAGAATTTTACCAGAAGAAAAGAAGGCGGCCAACAAAATTCGAGCCAAATCAGAGCGGTTTTGGCTCTCTCCATCTCGAGCCTTATACAAGAAGTCTTTCACTGGGCCATATCTGAAGTGCGTCCACCCTGACAAGGTGGAAGCCTTCCTCTATGAGATTCATGAAGGCATCTGCGGGAGTCGTATTGGGGGAAGGTCTTTGGCTTACCGAGCGATTTCCCAAGGTTATTGGTGGCCGTGCATGCAGGCGGACGCGCAGAAATACGTTCGCAGGTGTGAAAAATGTCAAAAATTTGCTCACTAAATCCACCAGTCGGCCAGAGAGCTGCTCCCCCTTACAAGTCCTTGGCTGTTTGCACTTTGGGAGCTGGATATTATGGGACCACTCCCAACAGCTCCAGGCAACCGCAAGTTTTTCATCGTTGCTACCGACTACTTCACTAAGTGGGTTGAGGCCGAGCCGTTGGCAACCATAAAGGAAAAAGATGTGAAGAAGTTTGTTTGGCAAAATGTCGTCACTCGCTTCGGTATACCGAAGGCCCTTATTTCGGATAATGACACTCAGTTCGATGGGAAACTCTTTCACGGATTTTGCGAAGAGTTAAAGATTGAGTTCTACAACTCAACACCGGCCTACCCTCAGTCAAATGGTCGAGCAGAAGCCTTAAACAAGACCATCCTGGACGGGCTGAAAAAGCGGCTAGAGAAAGCCAAAGGGAAGTGGGCTGAAGAATTACCCAATGTGCTCTGGGCATACTGCACCACGCCGAGACGTTCGACCGGGAAAACACCATTTGCCTTGGCCTATGGCATGGAGGCTGTTATCCCACTGGAAATCGGCATGCCGACCATCCGGTCTGAAAGTTTTCAGCTTAATGAAGCAGTGGCCTTAGAGCTTGACCTAGCAACCTACCAGCAAGAACTCTCCAGGAATTACAACAAGACCGTGCATCCAAGGCTATTCAAGATCAGAGACTGGGTCTTGAGAAAGGTGATGGGCAACACGGTGATCCCTGGCGAAGGCAAACTAGGTGCAAATTGGGAAGGGCCGTATAAGGTAACTGGCCTTGCAGGCAAAGGGGCATACCATCTAGAAGACTTAGATGGTAAAGCTATCCCCAGACCGTGGAATGCAGCTAATCTTAAGATTTTTTACTTCTGAAATGTAATCTCTTCTGTTCCCTTCTCTTTTGAATTTGGCCCTTTGGCACCAGATGTAAATATCTGACGTGTAATGAAAGATGACCCTATATTTTCCTACCTCCTTATATTATGTGTTTCTGTACAATGACATCACAAGGGTATTGGGCCACTATGAATGCCAGGGGCAAGAAGCCAACAATGGCTTGACAGAGGCCGTACAAACAGTTGGTGTATTGTCCAACTTGCATAAGGGCCGAGTTGATTTTACTCGCCCGAGTGAAATGTTGACGTTTTGTCCAACTTGCAGAAGGGCCGAGCTGATTCGGCCATTCCCAAGTGAAATGTTGGTGTTTTGTCCAACTTGCAAAAGGGCCGAGCTGACTTTGCTCGCCCGAGTAAAATGTCGGCGTATTGTCCAACTTGCAGAAGGGCCGAGCTGACTTTGCTGGCCCGAGTAAAATGTCGGCGTATTGTCCAAATTGCAGAAGGGCCGAGCTGACTTTGCTGGCCCGAGTAAAATGTCGGCGTATTGTCCAAATTGCAGAAGGGCCGAGCTGACTTTGCTGGCCCGAGTAAAATGTCGGCGTATTGTCCAAATTGCAGAAGGGCCGAGCTGACTTTGCTGGCCCGAGTAAAATGTCGGCGTATTGTCCAAATTGCAGAAGGGCCGAGCTGACTTTGCTGGCCCGAGTAAAATGTCGGCGTATTGTCCAAATTGCAGAAGGGCCGAGCTGACTTTGCTGGCCCGAGTAAAATGTCGGCGTATTGTCCAAATTGCAGAAGGGCCGAGCTGACTTTGCTGGCCCGAGTAAAATGTCGGCGTATTGTCCAAATTGCAGAAGGGCCGAGCTGACTTTGCTGGCCCGAGTAAAATGTCGGCGTATTGTCCAAATTGCAGAAGGGCCGAGCTGACTTTGCTGGCCCGAGTAAAATGTCGGCGTATTGTCCAAATTGCAGAAGGGCCGAGCTGACTTTGCTGGCCCGAGTAAAATGTCGGCGTATTGTCCAAATTGCAGAAGGGCCGAGCTGACTTTGCTGGCCCGAGTAAAATGTCGGCGTATTGTCCAAATTGCAGAAGGGCCGAGCTGACTTTGCTGGCCCGAGTAAAATGTCGGCGTATTGTCCAAATTGCAGAAGGGCCGAGCTGACTTTGCTGGCCCGAGTAAAATGTCGGCGTATTGTCCAAATTGCAGAAGGGCCGAGCTGACTTTGCTGGCCCGAGTAAAATGTCGGCGTATTGTCCAAATTGCAGAAGGGCCGAGCTGACTTTGCTGGCCCGAGTAAAATGTCGGCGTATTGTCCAAATTGCAGAAGGGCCGAGCTGACTTTGCTGGCCCGAGTAAAATGTCGGCGTATTGTCCAAATTGCAGAAGGGCCGAGCTGACTTTGCTGGCCCGAGTAAAATGTCGGCGTATTGTCCAAATTGCAGAAGGGCCGAGCTGACTTTGCTGGCCCGAGTAAAATGTCGGCGTATTGTCCAAATTGCAGAAGGGCCGAGCTGACTTTGCTGGCCCGAGTAAAATGTCGGCGTATTGTCCAAATTGCAGAAGGGCCGAGCTGACTTTGCTCGCCCGAATAAAATATCAACGTTTTTGTTAGCATATTATATTATTATCTGAGCTTTTTTGGTTTGTAATTATTCTATGCCCTGTGGGCTCGACTTGTAATTGTCTCATCTTGTAAATCCTAATCTTCATTTATAAATAGGGGATGATATTTTATCAAACCCTAAGCTGGTTACTCAAGCTTCATGGTACCAGAGCAGAACCTCTAGGGTTTCGGCTCACCCTTGTTGGTCGACCTTTGCACCAACGACTCTAGGGTTCGAGACTTACCTAGGTTGATCATCTGCTGCGATCTTCAGCTCGCCGTTGTCACTCAGTCGATCTCCTCAATTCGTTGCCGTTGGCTTTAGCTTGCCTTCCTCTGTCGGTCTCCTTACTCAGTCGATCTCCTCAGCCCGTCGACCTCCTCAGTCGATCTCCTCCGCCAATCGATCTTCCAGCAGTTCGTCGATCTCTCTCTGGTATACTCTCTCATCACTGTTTGGTATACTTATGTCGTGTATATAGACCGCACCAATACATATATAAATGAATAACTAAATAAAAAAAAAAATGGTTTCTTAATTCATAAGTCTTTGCCTTGGATTATTGATTCCGGTGCCTCCGATCATATGTTTGGCTCCTCTGATCTTTTAGGATTGCAGATAGTACTGTTTCTTCCATTTCTGGAAAAAGTTTAGTCCAAGTCACTCCTACCATACATCTATCTTTTGTTCTCCATGTTCCCAATTTTTCTGTTAATCTGTTATCCTTGAGTCGTCTTACCCAGGATTTGAATTGTAGTCTGACGTTTTTCCTTGATCATTGTCTTTTTCAGGACCTTGTCACGAAGAGGACGATTGGCAGTGGTAGTGCAGAAAATGGTCTCTACTTCTTGAATCAACAGGATAAACTTGCTTATTCTTCCACCACGTTTTCTACTACCCCCGCTGATTTATGGCTGTGGCATCGGCGTCTTGGGCATCTTTCCTTTTATTTACTTAAGCCTTTATTTCCATCTGGTTTCGCAAATCATCATGTGTCTGACTTTCTTTGTGAGTCTTGTCAACTTGGAAAACAACACAGAGCTTCTTTTGCTCCCAGTTTGAATAAAAGTTAAGTTCTTTTTTCATTAATACATTCTGATGTTTGGGGTCCCTCTCGTGTTATGTCTGTGAAAGGTCATCAATGGTTTGTTACATTTATTGATGATTTTTCTCGTGCTACTTGGGTGTATCTCATGAAAGATAAGAGTGAGGTTTTCTCTGTGTTTCGCAATTTTCATAAGATGATTTGTACTTAGTTTGGGGCTACTGTCAAACTATTTCGTTCTGATAATGGCGGGGAATACATAGATTCTGGGTTAGGACAATATTTCTCTTCTCATGGCATTATCCATCAGACCTCTTGCACCAATACCCCTCAACAAAATGGGGTGGCGGAACGCAAGAATCGGCATCTTCTTGACATGGCTCGGTGCATGTGTTTTTCTATGAGTGTGCCTCGGCCCTATTGGGGCGACGCTGTTCTCATCGCTGCCCATCTTATTAATCGTCTCCCTACCCAGGTCTTGTAAAAACAAGCTCCTCTTCACGTCCTCCTCGGTTCTCAGTCCTTATTTTCTATTCCTCCCAAAATTTTTGGTTGTGTCTGTTTTGTTCATAATCACTCTTCTTCTCGTGGTAAGTTGGAACCTCACTCCCGCAAGTGTGTTTTCTTTGGTTACTCTCCTACTCAAAACGAATATAAATGTTACCACCCTTCTTCTCGTAAGTGGTTTGTGTCCATGGATGTTACTTTCTTTGAGTCCCAGTCCTATTTCTTGTCCTCTCCGGTGTCACCGTCCTCATTTCCGGGGGAGCCTTGGTGTGAAGTGAGTCCTGTGCTTCCTATGGTGGACCCAGTTGTTCTTGCACCACCCTCTTCTACTGTGCTTCCTATGGTGGAACCAGTTGTTCTTGCACCACCCTCTTCTACTAGGACTATAGAACCCAATGTCACCAAGGATAAGGACGGACATGTTTATGTCCGGGACATCGACAGACAATAAGTTAACTGGATACAGGGGACCACTTCTGCTCCTCCACTACTATCTTCTGCTTCTGATGAGAGTCTAAGTAACTATGAATCTTTTGAGTCCATTGATCTTGATGTTCCTATTGCCAAGAGGAAGGGTGTGAGATCTTGTACTCAATATCTTATCTCACAGTGTGTGTCCTACTCTCATTTGTCATCCTCATATAGAGCGTTTGTATCCAATATTTTCTCTGTTAGCATCCTAACCATTTTCAGGATGCTCTTGCTACCTCTGAGTGGAAAGTAGCCATGATTGAGAAAATGAAAGCACTTAGGAAGAACGGCACTTGGGAATTGACTGAGTTACCTACGGGCAAACGACCTGTGGGATGTAAATGGGTATATATTGTAAAACACAAAGCAGATGGGTCTATTGAGCGTTACAAGGCAAGACTTGTGGCAAAAGGGTTTACTCAGACATATGGCATTGATTATCAAGAAACCTTCGCACCCGTGACTAAGATGAATTCAGTCAGAGTACTTCTCTCTCTAGCAGCTAATCTAGATTGGCCACTTTATCAGTTTGATGTCAAGAATGCTTTTCTCCATGGTGACCTCGAAGAAGAAGTATATATGGACATTCCTCCGGGTTTCATCAGACAGAAGGCAAAGTATGCAAGCTTCGGAAGTCATTATATGGTCTCAAACAGTCTCCAAGGGCTTGGTTTGAGAGATTCACTCATACTATGTTTAAATATGGCTTCAAACAGAGTCAGGTAGATCACACCTTGTTTGTGAAACATTCCTCATGTGGTAAGACTATATCACTTATTGTTTATGTAGGTGACATAGTTCTTACAGGCAATGATAGTGGGGAAATACCTCTGTTGAAGAAATATTTAGCTAATGAGTTTGAAATCAAAGACTTGGGAAGCTTGAAGTATTTTTTGGGAATTGAAGTTGCTCGCTCTAAGGATGGGATATTTATCACAGAGAAAATATGTGCTTGACCTATTGAAGGAAACTGGGATGCTTGGCTGCAAGCCATGTGCCACTCCACTGGAACCCAATTAGAAATTGGGGGATGATGAAGGAGGAGAAGCTGTTGATAAGGAGAGCTATCAGCGATTAGTGGGTAAGCTCATTTACCTATCTCACTCCCGTCCTGATATTGCTGTTGCTGTCAGTGTGGTTAGTCAGTTTATACATGCTCCTCATCAGATTCACTTTGAGGCTGTCATGAGAATCTTGAGCTACTTGAAGTCTGCTCTTGGTAAGGGTCTTTATTTTTCAAAGTATGATCATCTTCGTGTGAAAGCCTATATAGATGCTGACTGGGCTGGATCAGTAATTGATAGGAGATCAACTTCAGGGTATTGCACCTTTGTTGGAGGCAATCTAAGTATTGATCAGACGGACTCCATGCGGTTATACTGTGATAATAAAGCCACCATCAACATCGCTCACAATCCAGTTCAACATGACAGGACAAAACATGTTGAGATTGATCGCCACTTCATTAAGGAGAAACTTACTAGTGGTACCATTTGTACTCTAGTCTGGTGAACAACTTGCTGACATTCTCACCAAGGGAGTTGGGAATAAACCATTTCATGACATATTAGGCAAGCTGAGCATGCGAGATATCTTCGCACCAGCTTGAGGGGGAATGTTAGCATATTATATTATTATCTGAGCTTTTTTGATTTGTAATTATTCTATGCCCTCAGGGCTCGACTTGTAATTGTCTCATCCTTGTAAACCCTAATCTTCATTTATAAATAGGGGCTGATATTCTATCAAACCCTAAGCTAGTTATTCAAGCTTCAGTTTTGTCCAACTTGCAGAAGGCCGAGTTGAATTTGCTCGCCCGAATAGAATATCAGCATTTTGTCCAACTTGCAGTAAGGCCGAACTGATTTTGCTCGCCCGTGGCAATGGATGCTTGGGCCATCCAGGTTTATGGCCGAGCTGATTTTACTCACCCGAGCTGGAACTTATATTCGACAAACATTTCAAATCGAAGAAGATTTGCTTATCATACCGAAGACATAACAAAAATAGATACTTGGCGAGCAAAAGTTAAACTTTTCATTGATTAAGAAAGCGGAATTACAAAAGTGGGCGAAGCCCGGTTACATTCCAAAAAAAAAAGGGGAAAGAGGGCGGAAGATCAGTCTAAATCTACATCAACGGTTTGCTCGGCCAGTCCCTCCTCAGCCTCATCTGCTAGCGCATCTACCACCGTGACAACCTCTTGCTCGATCTCTCGATCCTTGGCCCTTTCCTCAGAAGCTTCAGAAGGAGGATGTTGCCCGGCTGGTTGCACGATGGTAGCTTCTGCTTCAGCTGCTTGTTTGGCTTCTTCGATTAGCCTCCTCTGTACGGCACCGACATAAGCTTGCATATAGGCCGGGATGAAGGCAGCAGGAGGGTTTTGAAACACCTCGGCGTCCTGACCATGGCCAAGTTTTTCCACGGCAACTTTCCAACCGCACTAGGAAAAGATGTCATTGGTCCCCTGGACCTGCCGTTCATATGCTGTCTCACTCTCGGCATAACTGTGGTCTCCAGCCTCGTCGACCTCTTTCTCCAGCTCAGTTTTGTGAGCGTCGCGGAGTTTGCGCAGCTCGGCAATGTATCGGGCCTCCGTCACTTGGAGGGCCCTCTACTTGTCATCGTCTGCCCGGGCCAATCGTTCAGAAAGCTTGTCGCGCTCGGCCGCTGCTGCTTCTTGCGCGACCTTTAGTTTTGCCAGCTCGGCCGTCTTGGCCTTGTTGTCAGTAATTGCCACCCGTAGACTTTTCCGCACGGCGATCATTCGCTCGTGGGCCAGGTAATTCTTCTGCGCAGCCTGCGCAACAAACGAAAATGTCAGAACTCCACAACCGAGCAGACACTTGACAACATGAGAACTTGCAAATTTACCAACACTATTGACTTTGTTGCCGAGCACAGAACCTTCAGGTCGGACAGCTCCTCGTGCTTTTTCATGTCGGCATGAAGGAGCCGCCCTTTGGTCATGTTGAAGCCGAGAGAGTAATCCTTGTCCGCGTAGACCGAGTCCGCAGTAGAGCCAGCCCGGCCTTTGTATGTTAACTCGGGCGACTAGACTGGGGGGACACTGGATCGAGTGGATGGCTCGGTGATCGGCTGTTCAGTCTGGTCCCCCAAGTTGGTAGAAGCATGCTCGGTTGAATCTTCATCTGCCAAATGTTGTTCGGTCTGATTTTTTCTCGGCCTTTTCTTTGACCGACCTACAACTTGTTCGCTGGCCAGAGCCGGCACAACCCCCTCATCTTGCACGGCCGGCGTGGAAGAAGTTACCCCAGCTGCCTTCGGTGGCTGGGAGTTGCTCGCCTCACCGATGATCATTGACTTGATAGCTCGGATCTTGGCCATCTTTTGCTCGGTTGTCAAAGGGACCAGTTTGATCGGTGGAAGGCTGGGATCTGGTTCTGGAGAAGGTGCACGCAGGAAGTCGGTCACCCTGCTCTTGCGCGGCGCCTTGTAGCGGTAGCTCGGTTTGAAACTGAGCAGCTTGGGTGATTCTCGCTCCTCAGCTGGATTACGCAACACAACCCTTATAGCCTCCTGGTTTGCGCGGGAGTAATCCTCTGCCAAGAGTTTATAGTCTGCAACATGAAGGCAACTGTTAGACCAGCAGTAAAAAGAGCAACTTCAAAAAAATTGATGCCGAGATGCTCACCAGCACTTCCAAAGTCTTTTCTTATGTACCAGCCCGGTATGGGTGCTTCAGTGTCCTCATAATTACCGGACATCCACAAAAAATCGTCATTGTTGGTCTCTTTGTCCGGGTTACCTTCGATGAGTTTTGCTCGACCTTTCCTGACCTTGAGATACCAGCAAAACCCACCTTTATTTTTACTAAGTGCATATTGGTGAAATATCTCGGCGAGGCCGAGATTCAGACCAAGTATTCTATTTAGCTTGGCCACGCCGTTTATTATTTTGTATGTATTGTTGGAGACTTGGGTCTGGCACAACCTAGTCTGCCTTAAAAACTCGCAGATCAGGGGTTGGACCGGGAAGCGCAGGCCTCCTTCTACAATGGACACCACCGTGAAGGGGCGTTTGTCCAGCTCGCCCCAGGGAGTGTCTCCTTTCTTGGCGAGCTCCAAGTGGACATCATCTGGAATATTGTACTCTCTACGGAACTCGGCCAGTGCCCCCGGAGAATTCACCATGAACCGGTACTTCCCCATCTATCCCGGTTTTATTTAGTTGGTTGATTTAGGTCGTATCTCAGTAAAAATTTGGTGAATGTTTGCTCGGACTTTGAGCATCACCGGTTGTAACGGTGAACGGGACTGGTCGGTCCTAGTTTGTTCTGCATTATTAAGAAACAAGTCCAAGGATTAGCGTGGCATAAATTGCACGGCTTCACTATCTGGGGCGTTTGATCGGTTCAATTTTCTTATCTCGGCTTCACTATGTGGCCGACCAAGCCTTCCTAAATCGGTTCTAGCCCCCCTTCTTGCAGCTTGGTTTCGGCCTCAAAACAAGACCACAAACAGGTTCTTGCTCGGCTAAATCCTATTTATAGATAAAAAACTTGGGTTTTGCTCGGTCTCGCTCAGGGTTCAGGCTGTTTATCTTAAGTGTCAAGTCCGTGCATCGAAACTAGGGGAAACAAGGGGCATGGGAGCCCCATCTGCTTCTCTGATTCTAGTTTTTCCTAAGGTGTACCAGTATTACCCCAAAGAGGGGGCACTGGTAAGATTCTAACAGTCCCAGGCAAGAACATGAAAAACGTAAATGGCGAGTACGAAGGAGGGGCAGGTAAACTTACCGATATGGATGCCAAGTGAGGAGCAGTTAACCACGATCTTGTCTACAGCCTTTGAGAGGACGAAGGTGGTCGAGAACGACTGGAGGAGCAGTGATGGCAGAAGCTTGGAAACTTGAAGGCTAGGGTTTGGCTCGAGAGAGAAGATGAACAGTAGGTGCGTATGTTGGCCATCTTTTGCTCGGTTGTCAAAGGGACCAGTTTGATCGGTGGAAGGCTGGGATCTGGTTCTGGAGAAGGTGCACGCAGGATCTTGGCCATCTTTTGCTCGGTTGTCAAAGGGACCAGTTTGATCGGTGGAAGGCTGGGATCTGGTTCTGGAGAAGGTGCACGCAGGAAGTCGGTCACCTTGCTCTTGCGCGGCGCCTTGT